GGCTGAGGGAGCTGGGGGGTTCAAGTGGAGAAGAGGAGGTGAGGGGAGACCTGATCCCCTCTGCAGCTCCTGCCAGGACGGGGTAGCGAGGGGGGGAGGTTTCTTCTTCCATGTAACCAGTGACAGGAAAAGAGGAAATAGCTTCAAGGTGCACTAGGAAAGGGCTCGGTTGGATCTGAGGAAAAATTCCTTTAATGAAAGCGCGATCAAGCACTGGCAGGGGCTGCCCAGGGCAGTGGTGGAGTCCCCATCCCTGGAGGGGTTCAAGAAGCACCTGGATGTGGCACTTGGGGCCATGGTTTAGTGGCCATGGTGGGGTTGGGTTGATGGTTGGATTTGATGATCTTGGACATCTCTTCCAACCTCAATGACTCTGTGACTACGTGTGGTGATGTGCACAGTGGGACCTTGACTTCAATGTCTATCGCAGTGGTCGTCCTGCTTGTAACCACCCTCTCCTTAAATCTCATCGGGGTTATTTTAAACCAGAGTGCAATTGAATTGTGAAGTCCTGTGACAAAAGATAGGAGCTGATGATGAGTTGCTCACGATTAGGAAATGTTTCGCTCTCTCTCCTTGGAGATGGTGGGAGTGTTTCGTAATTAGCCCTTTGTGCAAAACTTCTATTTTCTTGTGAAATAGGTGGTGGTTCTTGCTGTCAAAAGCAGCACGGAAATAGATGGAAGGGTGATATAACCTAGCAGCCCGCAGACTTATCTGTGTATCTCCCTGGTGCATATTTATAACGGTTGAAATGTTGTTTGAACTGAAGCTTGGAAACAGTTTGGATTTTTCTTTGTCAGTATAAATGTGTTAGGGATGATGGTTACCATTTATTTGTGCTTTTACTTTGCTTTTTCTTCTCCTGATCTGTGGCAGAAACGGGCTCTGCCTGTTTAGCCATGTGAAGGGCCTGTGGGGGGGGTGTGATGGTGCTCTTGCAGTCTCCCCGATCGCAGTACCTCAGTGAAGAACTCTTAATGTATTTATTTTCCCATGTAACTATGCCTGTGTTCAGTTGATCACGGCAGTGTTAATATATAGAACGTATAGAACAAGCCAGAGCACTTTCCTGCCATCTACGTTGGTATTTGTGTTGTACCGTGCCCTGATTTGCTTTGGTGTTGCTCTTCTCTCCCTGCAGGCCCTGGGCTGTTTGCTGTACAAGCTCTGCTACTTCACTTTGCCGTTTGGGGAGAGCCAGGTGGCGATCTGCGACGGCAACTTCACCATTCCAGATAACTCTCGGCATTCGCAAGACATGCACTGCCTCATCCGTGAGTGTCTCTGGCAGCGCCACGATCCACTTCCACAGAGCTAAAACACAGCAGAGGTGTTTTCTTCTTATATTCCCTGCTCCTACAGTAAAAGCGTTGGTGTTTCTCCTCTTTTAAGACCACAGGGGTGGTTAAAGTGATCTTTTCGTAGCTTAGGAGATCACTTTGCGTAAGACAGTCACGACAAAGACATTTCTGTTTGGCTGGGCTGTAGTGAACTCTGTGGAAAGGCAGGAAACCAGACAACCATTTGGTTTAAGGGTCCTGCAGAAACTTGCACAATAAGCCTATTTATACAGCAACGTATTTCTCCAGTAATAAATCTGTTTGGATAAGGAGCTGAAAAGAACCACAGTGACTTAGACTGGCGATAAGAATTCATCTTCTGTGAACTGAGAAGCAGAATTTAAATGATTTATAAATAACCCACTGACTCGAGTGAATGTGTAATTAGGGGTACAATGCGCTCCTCTTGGCAAAGCTGGGCCAGCTCTCTTGTTTTCAGCACAGCATTTGATTTTTAATTTTTTTTCTCCTAGCCACAATCTTGACTAACACAGAGTTGATGTGTTTGCAGAGCAGCCTGGGATTTGCTTTGCTTATGCAGAGGTGGGGAGATACATATATATATATATATCTCATATGTGGCTGGTTGGTCTTCCTGCCCCACTGACACACGGGCCCTGGATCGAGCTCTTTTCCTGCGAGTTTACTTGGAAAAGCAGAAGTGGAAATTTATGCTGTGCCCTGAGCAGGGAGGCTGCATCCCCCTGGAGCCTTTGGTAGCAGCTACAAGCTCTTTGTAGCTGTACTGGAAAGATATGTCCCAGTCCATCCTGATGGTCCTGCCCTGTTCTCAGCTGCCCTTGAGGATCAGCTCAGCCCCACTGACCGGGTGCAGGGCACCCTGTTAGCACCTGGGTATAGCAGATGTAAAATCATAGGATAGTTTGGGTTGGAAGGGTCCTTTAAAGCTGATCTGGTCCAACCCCTGCAGTAAGCAGGGACATCCTCAACAAAATCAGGATGCTCAGAGCCCTGTCCAACCTGACCTTGAATATTTCCAGGAATGGGGCATTTACCTCCTCTCTGGCCAACCTGTGCTGTGATCTACCACCCTCAGCACAGCAAATGCCTTCTTTGTGTCCAGTCTGATGCACTGCCACACATGGCTCACACAAATCACAGATTCACAGAGTGTATTGGGTTGGAAGGGACCTTTAAGCTGATCCAGTCCAACCTTGCAGTGAGCAGGGACATCTTGAACCAGACCAGGTTGCTCACAGCCCCATCAAGCCTGGCCTTGAACATCTCCAGGGATGGGGCCTGCACCACCTCTGGACAACCTGTGCAGTGATCGACCACCTCATGGGGAAGAGCTTTTTCCTCATATCCAACCTAAATCTCCCCTTTTCCAGTTTAAAACCATCACCCCTCATCCTATTGCTCCATGCCCCAGTGAACAGCTCTTCCCCAGATTTCTTACAGGCACCTTTCAGGTCCTGGAAGGTCACCATAAGGTCCCCCCAGAGCCTTCTCTTCTCCAGGCTGAAGAGCCCCAACTCTCTCAGCTGTCCCCATAGCAGAGCTGCTCCAGCCCTTGGATCATCTTTGTGTCCCTCCTAAACAGAATAGGGAGATTTATGATATTGCATCTCTCTTTTAAAGGGTACATGCTCGAACCAGACCCTGACAAGAGACCTGACATTTATCAAGTTTCCTACTTTGCGTTCAAACTGGCGAAGAAGGAATGCCCCGTCCAGAACGTCCAGGTGAGGAGCAAGGGATGGGCTGTTGGAATATTGAATATTCTGCCATATTCTGTGAGTTGTTCCCCTGTTTGTAACTAGGAGGGTCTTTTCTGGGAGGGAAGAGGGGCAGACATCAGAGTTTTGTTTCCTGTATTGTTTATTTCTGTTTGTCCCTGGTTTATCTCCTCACCCAGTTACCAGTGTGAGGCCAACCAAGAGATCTTGTGTGTGTGAACGTGGAAAATCAGGCCGTGCTTGTGAAAACCGATGTGATTTCCCGGCACATGTGTCTCAGTGTCTGTAATTTGCACTGGGGTTGGTTTTAAACATCACGGTTTTGTGTCTGCCACTTGCATCTGAGCTACATCAGAGCTTGCACAACCATCTGCCCCTTCTTAGTGTATCTTCATAGACTTCAACTGAAAAACAGAGTTGACAAGTGTTTCCTTATGGTGTTATGGACATCTGTGACATGACATTTTATTTTATTATTTCCAAGTAATAAGAAACCTATTTTTTTTCTCCATCTTCAGGTGGTTATTTATGGTCTGTATGTATAAGACATGGGGTTTGGTGCTATTATACCTGTACCTTTTATAGCAGTATCAATAAGAATTGCTGCTATTGGCCCCAGGTTGTCTTTGAAGAATACCCAGGTTGTCCTATGAGGATCTTTGTTCAGATTTCACATGTAGTAGATGGTCAAAAAGCCGTATTTTTTCCCTTGTAAAGACTCCCAGACTGCTGTCTCCTCATGATATTAACACTGAGTGGTTCGTCCAACTTGAGAAATAATTGCTTTGGGGACCTCGTAGTCTCCCCATCTCATTGAGATGCTTTTGCAAGTTATTTGTGACTCTCTCTTCTGCCCTCACAATACAAAATGTGGTGTTTTTGGGATCTGCAGAACTCTCCGATCCCCGCTAAACTCCCAGACCCAGTTAAAGCAAGTGAAGCTGCTGCCAAGAAGAGTCAACCCAAGGCCAGGTAACCACAGCTGCATTGCACAGCCCTCTTTTTATTGTCTTGCTGCTGTTTTATTAGGAAAGGTGCTTGGTATATTTAGCTGCTTCCTTGTGGGCTTGCATTTCCACGTGGAGACAAACACTGCAGTCCTGAGGCTGCTGCTTCAACCACATAAATAACCATTGATCTGAAAGGCAGAAAATGCAGATATTAGGGGAAATATTTCTGCATGCGGGGGGTGGAGGTGGGGATTGGGCATCCTCAGCATGACTCAACAGCCAGGCTGTCTGTGCTGGAGACATTTCTTGTTAGCAGCACTTGAAGTTCATGCACTTGGATGAATCTTTGGTGTCATCCAGAGGCAGTACCTGAGAGCAAAGCCAGGAGAAAGCCTGCAGCAGGCCTGGAATTGGCCCAGACAACGCGATCCTGCTGAGAAACTGCGCTGGGGCCTGTCGCTGTTTGAGCGCAACCCTCGGCAGATGACAACCTGACCCAGTCATGGCTGTGTGAAGCTGCTGTGATTTCTGCAGTTTCTATCATTTCTTCTGGGGGTGACATGAAAGCCCAAGCAGGCTCCGTCTCCAAAAGCCCAATTAGTGGGGAAAGCACCGTACCGCTGTGGTTTTTCTCCTCTCCTGCTGCTGCTTCCTCTGCCGATGATGCTGCAATGGGGATGTGTCAATTCAGTTGGACAAAACTTGTACCTTCTTTGCTGCAAAGTGAGCAGCACAGCAGCAGGCACTCCAAAACCAGCACACATCTCCTGTCTGCCAGTCCCAGGAGTCTGCTTTGCCAGTTTTTGTAATTGAATACAGTTACCCTCACGTTAGGGAACTACTTGATACCTAACAAGCAAATGTATCCACAGGAGGGCAGGGTGGTGGCTTCTTGGCTCTGTTGCTGTGCAGTTTGGGAGCTCAGTAAATATTGAGCAGAGATCAGGAGAGGTCGGATGACCTGATTTTGGGGTAGGTGTACTTAAGTTAAGGTACTTCTAAAGATGGCAATTTAGGCAACGCTGCCCAGAGGTACCAGCTGCTCTGAAGCTGATTTGTTATGTCCTTCATCTGCTCGTACTGAACTCGAAGTGGATTTAAACAATATGTTGCAGCAAATATTTGAGCTGAACGATTTTGACAAGTTCCAGCTGTCCAACAGGACAAGATGCCACGATTGGCAAAGAAGTCAAAATTATAATGTTGGATGAACTGTTGTGAGTGCATCCGTTAAGTGTTACTGTGCTGGCAGTTTTCTGGGGAGTCGTGTGTGTCTGGATGCCCACAGAAGTTTCTCTTTATCAGTCTCATACTGCTAAAGTATGGATGAATTTTTAAACTCGTGCCATGTTGCATACATCAAATACCGAGCTAACAAAGACCATGCTCTTACCATTCCTTTTATTCCTCGTCTTACTTTATAGGCTGACAGACCCCATCCCTACGACAGAAACGTCCATAGCTCCCCGCCAGAGACCTAAAGCAGGACAGACGCAGCCCAACCCTGGGATTTTACCCATCCAGCCAGCCCTGACGCCTCGCAAGAGACCCACGGCTCAAGCAGCCATTCAGCCGCAAGGTGAAGCGACGTTCCCTGTGCGGGCGCTGTGTACTGCGGGACTGTGGTGCACGTTGAGCTAACAGATCTGTATTTTTATTTTCCCTACCAGTTGCAGGACCTGCTGCCCTGGGCAGTGCTCAGCCTTCGCTCCCTGCAAGCGTTCCCCAGCAAAAAGCTGCACCTCAACAGGCTCCAGCGCAGCCCCAAGCCAAGCAGGCGCCAGCTCCACCGCAGGCCCCAGCGGCGCAGCCCCAGGTCCCTTCTACTCAGCCCCAAGCCACCCCTCAGCATCAGCAGCAGCTTTTCTTGAAGCAGCAGCTTCTGCAGCAGCAGCAGCAGCAGCAACAACAGGCTGCGTATTACCAGCAGCAGCAGATGATGCAGGCTCAGCAGGTAGGTGTGCACGGCCGTGTTTGCTGCACGCATCCTGTACTAGAGGCCTGCAAAGCCGCATCTTTACATTTATGGCAAGTTCCCTGGTTTTTGTGGGGATAGGTGTGGCTTTCAGGCATTTTCCAATGCGCCTCCAGTTCTCTAGCAAGGCTTTTTGCTCCACAAAGCTGGCATTTTTAACTGTCAATGTGCAAGGCCTTGAGATAATTTTGTCATGTATAAATGTAAAATAAGCAGTGCTGGTTAAGATTTTACAGCTTCGAGTGTTTTAGGGTCTTGAGGTCAATGCTCAGCTGAGGAGTACATCTCAGAGGGGTACAGCTTCTCCTCTGATCTCTTAGTGGTGCAAGCAGCCTGGTGTGCTTTTTTTAATGGTAAGATTCGGGTCTGGTTTTGTAGCAGGCTGCGGCGATAGGGAGCTGTGAACACGATGTGTTAGACGGGATGTGCCTAGATGAGACTTGTGTGAGGTGTTTATAGCAGCACAGATCTCTGCTCAAGCATGTTTACCAGTGGAAGCAAAGGGACAGTAAGTTGTCCTATCATGGGGAAATGTTTAGAATTGATAAAAATGGAGAAAAGAGTTTGGGACCACAGGACAGGCTGTGCTGTGGGAGCCCTGTATGGGCAGATGGAGCACAGAAAGGACCTAATGTTAGACCAGAAAGCCATTTACCACCACTTCTGTGCAGGTGGTCTCCAAGCTATCCCAGCCTGTTACTGCTTTGCCACTTGCAGTGGCTGTAACCATTCCTGCAGATAACCCCGAGTTCTGGTGGTGGTACCCCAGTTCCCAGCCACTCAACCACTGGTTCTTTCCCAGTTCCCAGTGATGCAGCAAGGAGCGCCAGCACAGCAGCAGCTGATGCAGAACTATTACCAGCAGCAGCAGCAACAGCAGCAGCAGATGATGGCCCAGCAGGCAGCGATGCAGCAGAAGACAGCGGTAGCAGCAGCTCAGCAAAAGCCGCAAGCCCCAGCGCCGCAGCCCCAGCCACAGCCCCAGGCCCAGCAAAGCGCAGCCCAGCCAGCGCAGCCGCAGGAGCAAGTGGTGAGAGCCTTGTGGGAAGAGGGCAGTGGGATTTGGAGTTAGTGAGTGCTCTCCTGCCAGGTCATACAATCACAGTGTGTTTTGGGTTGGAAAGGACCTCAGAGCCCCCCCAGTCCAACCCCCCATGGGCAGGGACACCTCCACCAGCCCAGGCTGCTCCAAGCCCCGGCCAACCTGGCCTTGGGCACTGCCAGGGAGGGGGCACCCACAGCTTCTCTGGGCAACCTGCGCCAGGGCCTTACCACCCTCTCATGGAAGAATTTCTTCCTAATATCCAGTCTAAATCTCCCCTCTTCCAGTTTAAAACCATTCCCCCTCATTCTGTCACTACCTGCCCTTGTGAAAATTCCCTCCCCAGCTTTCCTGTAGGACCCCTTCAGGTCCTGGAAGGCTGCAATAAGGCTCTTCTAGTGCCTTCTCTTCTCCAGGCTGAATAGCCCCAGCTCTCAGTTGGTCCCCGTAGGGGAGGTGCTCCAGCTCCTCAGCATCTCCATGGCCTTCTCTGCTCCCGCTCCAACAGCTCCATGGTCTTTTTGTGTTGGAGGCTCCAGAACTGGACACAGGTGGGGTTTCACCAGAGCAGAGTATAGAGGGGCACGTTCCCCCTGGCCCTGCTGGCCACACTTATGATGCAGCCCAGGATGGGGTTGGTTTCTGGGCTGCAGGCACACATTGCTGGCTCATGTTGAGCCCAACACTGCAAGTCCTTCTCCTCAAGACTGCTCTCATCTGTTCTTCTCCCAGCCTGGATTTGTGCTTGGGATTGCCCCTACCCAGGTGCAGGATCTTGCACTTGTTCTTGTTGAACTCCATGAGGTTGATGTGCAATTCTTTGCACTGCTCTGTCCAATGCGTGCTGGACTCTCGAGTTGTGCTCTGGGTCCATAGAAGAAAGATGAGTAGATGGTGAGTAGAAAGCAGACGAGAAGATTTTAGTAGCTGCTTAGCACAGCATCTCTCTATCCCTCCCTTGTCATGTTGCCTTAGAAGACACATGATAAACTCTTAAAAATTATTCATACTTGATGCATCAGGGTATGCTGCTTGTTTGGGAAAACTGTCTTGTATTGAGGGCTCTGGTGCAGAGGAAGGTGTGAGCAGCCTTTCTGGTTGTTTCTGGAGTTGGGATCACTTTTTTCTTTAATGAATACTATGAAAAGGAGACTTTTCAAAGCACTGTATCTATAAATAAATAAATTATCCACTTTCGCAATCATCTGAACCTGTGTCCAAAACAAATGTTCCTTACTTAATAGAAAACAGGGCTGTCTGCAGCAGGGAAGCTGCCAGCTGCAGGGTCTGCAGTTCACGTGGGAGGAACCTGGGCCTTTTGCTTTCGTTCCTGCGTGGTCCCATCCGCTCGTGCTTGGTTTTGGGAGTGCAAAGTGTCCCTGACTGTAGTTGTGTGTTGGAAAGAAAGCAAAGGCAGGCACCAGGCAAGGGGAAGCTGCCCATGATTTTGCAAAGCAAGCAGTCCCTGCTACCAAACCCCTTTGGGTACACAGCGTTAGAGCCCAAACTAAGGGTCAGTTTGTGCTTGCTGCTTTGTGAGTTATTCAGGACCTAATTCATCTCTGGAGCATGCTTTGAAGTGACATCAGGAATTAATTTAACTAATAAACTCCAGAAGCCGACGACCTGAGCCGGGAAGCAGTGTTTGCTTTACTCTGCTGTGTCTCAGGGCTCTGTCACATTCACCCCCTTTGCTTTTGTATCAATTTTCAGTGCTCTGCTGGTTGTTAGGGCAGGTGACAGCCTTGGAGCCGTTGTGTTCCTGGTCTCGTTGTTGTTTTGCTGATTGACCTGGGGCAAATCAGTTTTTTGAAGCTGCTGGGAGATTTCCAGTACGTGCAGACAGGTTTTGGATGAGGCCCATTATTACTCTGGTCTTTTTAGAGGAGAAACACCTGAAATGTGGTATTGAAGTGCATCTCTAAAGAGCTTTGCTGTGATTCACTAGCACAGAAGCAGGCTTAATTTTATTAAATCAGCCATATACACCTGGGAGGTTGATCAGAATGAATGCATCTGGACACATTTCCACTCCTGCAGCAGTCAGTGGTTTAAAAAATGATGGTGAGACGCAGTCTCTGCAGAGCAGGACCCATCAAAACCTTTTCACGTTACAAAACCTCAGCTTAATAAGCTCTGCATTCGTTTTTGTGGCGATTTTGGCACTGCCCTTTTGTTTCTCGGCACCAAACGTACTGTTCTGCAGTGACCTACATAGCGAGATGCAAGGTGGGTGCATCAGAAGCAGCCGGGTCAGGTTGCTGTGCATTGACCTGCCTGGAAACACCAGATGAAAAGCAGGAGAGCTGACCGCTTGTTTGCCTTGCCCTGCTGTGGGAAGGCACCACGCTGGGGCTGTAACTCTTCCTCCTTGCCCTCTGAGGTCTTTCCAAGTGTTTAATCCATTTTCTTTGGGTGGACGTGGCCTGGGGTGACTCAGGGTGGGGACAGGGCCAGGCCCAGGCGGTGGAGGTGACGTGCGCAGCTTTTTCTGGTTTTCCTGCTAGAAATCAAACCACGATATCTCACCGGCAGAGAGGTTTTGAAAAGTCACATAATGCTGCTGTTTATCACTACAAAACAGTGTCTCAAGTATTTGTAGGTTGTCGAGTTTAACACACGACTGAGGTAAAGGAAAAATAAGATCAGTTTGCAGAAACTCCTGTAAGTTTTCAACGGGTTTGTAGCTGGGCTGTCTTGGCTTGCACCTAAACCGAACATGCCTGTTTCTCTCCAGATTTTAATGATAAATGTTCCTGTGGCCCTTGCATTTTAAATTTATTTTTATTTTTCTAAGAAAGCTTCTTGCACAAGATCTCTGCAGAAGCGCCGTACTCCCGTAGGGATTTGACCCCAGTCACACATCATCCACTGGAAGAAGCGCTGCTCTCCACCTCACCCCCACTCCTCGTGTCCCTGTGACAAGACTCCATTTTTTCCATCGTTTAATTTTCACTTTTTCATTATATTTTTCAGCCCTTGCCAACAAGGACTTAACCTTTTTATTTTCTCCCCTAGATGCAGGGGCAAATGAGGCAACAGCAGAAACCTCAAACCACGCCGCCCCCAGCAGCGCAGGGCCAGAAGCTGGGCTCTCTCACCCCTCCGTCCTCCCCCAAGACGCAGCGTGCAGGGCACAGGAGGATCCTGAGCGATGTGACCCACAGCGCGGTGTTTGGGGTTCCGGCCAGCAAATCCACCCAGCTCCTGCAGGCGGCTGCTGCTGAGGCCAGTCTCAACAAGTCCAAGTAGGTGGCTGCTCCCTTGGGATCAAGGGGAACAGAGGGAGGGGGTAGATGAGGCTTTTTGGAGGTCTGATTTTTTAATTTTTAGAAGATAAATGTGATAGATAGGGGTGTGATAGATAGGGGTGTGATAGATAGGGGTGTGATAGATAGGAATATATAGAAGATAGGGGTGTGATAGATAGGAATATATAGAAGATAGGGGTGTGATAGATAGGAATATATAGAAGATAGGGGTGTGATAGATAGGAATATATAGAAGATAGGGGTGTGATAGATAGGAATATATAGAAGATAGGGGTGTGATAGATAGGAATATATAGAAGATAGGGGTGTGATAGATAGGAATATATAGAAGATAGGGGTGTGATAGATAGGAATATATAGAAGATAGGGGTGTGATAGATAGGAATATATAGAAGATAGGGGTGTGATAGATAGGAATATATAGAAGATAGGGGTGTGATAGATAGGAATATATAGAAGATAGGGGTGTGATAGATAGGAATATATAGAAGATAGGGGTGTGATAGATAGGAATATATAGAAGATAGGGGTGTGATAGATAGGAATATATAGAAGATAGGGGTGTGATAGATAGGAATATATAGAAGATAGGGGTGTGATAGATAGGAATATATAGAAGATAGGGGTGTGATAGATAGGAATATATGGAGCATAAGAATTTTGGAGATTTATGCCCACAGAGGATTTGGTTTGAAGCTTTAATTGCTTTCTTGGCTGAGTTCTGTTTTCCTTGTGTGTGCTCAGGCTATCCAAAGAGTGTTGAATGTTATACTTCACTAAAACCTGTTGCTCCTCCCACCTTATTTGTTCTCTTGAATTATTGCTGCAGAGTAACTTGATTTCATAGCTCCAATAGAAAAATGTGTCCAGAGCTACAAATGGCTTTGAGAATCTCTGAGATAAATGTGGGCAGCAAACTCTGAGGTCTAAATAAGTCTTTGCCTTCCCAAGACCACAGTTTAGGGCTTTTTTCAGCAACTTCCTGCCAACCTCCCCAAGGGCAGAAGTCCTCCTGAGTGCTTCCATGCTCCCCAAATGCTGAGTGAACAGGGTGTTAGAAAAAGCTGGTGTCATTTCAGCCGTTCCACCAGCAGCCGTGGTGCAGGCTCCGGCATCAGCACGTCCCCAGGAGCACCTGCGAGGCCACTTTTATATGACCTATATAGGAAACCTCCATGTGGGCATCGCAGAAAATCATTTCAGATGGGATGCTGCTGATGCTTGTTTTAATCCCTGACACCAGGATGCTCACCCAGATTAGGGGTGGGTAAGGCTGACTGGTCCCAGCTTTCTGGGCGTGCAGGCGCAATAACTCGTGTGGAGTGTTTTAAGTAGGAATTAATTATAATGCAATGGCTTGGACCAGCTCGTAGTGCTGGCCGGAGGGTTTAAATGGGTTATTAATGATTATTCTTTGGGGTGATCACATCCAGATCTGCTTCCACCACACCCTCGGGTTCCCCACGGACCTCCCAGCAGAATGTCTACAACCCGCCCGATGTCTCCGCGTGGAATCCGTTTGATGACGATAACTTCTCCAAGCTCACAGCTGAGGAGCTGCTGAACAAGGACTTTGCAAAGCTGGGTGACGGTAGGTTCATGGTGATGGTTTAATACCAGCCTGCTCCCAAAAAGGAGGATGGCATGGAATGATGCTGCCTTTGGTTAGATGCTGCTGGGGTGCTCCCATGTTATTTTCCATGGTCCTCTGTGCCCGTAAGAGCTAAATCCTTCCAATTTCCCTTCTCCTTGTCCTCTTTGCTGAGCAATTGCAATTAAATCTCATGATCCTCAAAGGGAGAGGTATTAACTGCTTCTAAAGTGGCTTTGATCAGTTGGTTTAAACTACAGTTTAAACTCTGCTTCTTCTGCAAGTTATGATCACTGAAATGGTGTCCTAAAAATCTAGGTAAGTGAGCAGCCTTCAGGTTGGAAGTTCTTCATTTAAATCTGCATCTGGTATTTCAGGGAAAGCTCCAGAAAAGATGGGCACCTCCACTGAGAACTTGATCCCAGGTTTCCAGCCGGCTTCATCTGCAGCCCAGGCGGATGCGTTTGGTGGCTCTTCCTTCACTGCTGGATCAGGTGGGTTTGTGAATATCCCCCACAGGGGGTTTTTATATATTTATATATATAATTATGCCGTGGATAGCACTGCAGAAAAGTCACAAATCTTTGTCATAGCCTCTTTGAAAGGAAGCTAAAACTGATATAAATTGAGCTGTAGGATGGGGTTGGCCCTTCAGTAAAGGAGGGAAGGTAGGAACGGCGCGGGTCCTTGTCACAGCTGGGTGGCAGAGACGGGAGGCACCGTCTGTAGGCAGAGGTGAGGCTTTTGGTGAGGGAAGAAACTCAGTGAGCCATTAAAGGTCACAAGAAAGCTTCTTAACGTGTTGAAGTTCCTTGCAGCTCATAATTAGAAGTAAAATATGTTGCGTAAAATAAGTGACGTGACTTGGAGACGTTGGTCAGACGCGCTGGAGGATATTCCTTGCCTGCAGTTGTTAGGTTGGATGAAGGAGGCAAGGAGCAGGGATAATAATGTCTGTGCTGCAGAAGGAGGAGAACAGCAGGGACAGGAAAGAGCAGGGAAAATCCTCAGAGGAGAGCACAGGTGGAAGTTTTAGGGCTTTTGCACTGGCTGCACTGTCAGGATCCAGAGACCAGGAGTCCCTGGCTGCTCTGAGGAGCTTTTCTGTAGGGGTCTCTGCATGTGTGACCTTGTCTGGTGCCTCCTTTGGTACTTGGGCACTGAGGTTTTGCCATGAGCAGCCCTTTCTATGCTGAGAAACTGTGAGTGCTGCTTGTTTCTGGTTCTTCAGCATCAGTTCCCTCCTACCAGGATCCCAAAAATCCTCTGCCCTGTCTTGTGAAGCCGTTGTTACAGGTGACAAAGAAACTGATGCTTCCCCATGAAAGTGCCCCAACCCTTGATGAGAGGAGTCCTGGGATCGAAGAATCCTTTGTGGGGCAAGAAGTGACAAATCCATTTACAGTCACTTCTATTTATAAAAAGAGATTTAGAGGAGCTTATAACTGAGCTTGGTGGTGTTGGCTCTTACCTGAGAATTAAGGAGCTGAAATCCATGATGCAGAAGTGCTCCAGGGAGCTGCTTTCTGAGTCTGCCCAGCTGCTCAGTGCCTTGTGAGCAGTTTGGGATGCTCCATCAGCCTTTGTGGCATGATGTTGGGTGGCAGCAGCTCCAGATTCAGCTGTAAAGCGCCTTTTGAGAGTCATCTGCATGCTCTGCATACTCTGGACACTGGAGCACGTTCAATTATCTTTAAAATGTGCCTCTCGTGTCCTCTGATTTGGCATAGAAAGGTGTCTTGGAAATTCAGTGCTGACGCTGGGGTGGGCACTTACAGGCCTTATCTTTTTCTTTCCTCATAGATCCCAGCCTGTCTGATGCGAGGTGCTGTGTCTTTTATTTCAAAGAGGCCCAGCGTGGGGCTGGCTTTGCTGAGTGTGCTTTGCCAAGGCATTTCACCTATTGCGCCCTGTAAAGCGAGATGATAGCACTTCCCTTTCAAGGAATGTTTTGAGATCTGTGGGTGAAATTGTGCTGGAGAGCTACCTGGTCATACTTGTTTGGTTTATATGGGCTTTTTTCTCCTCTTCACATAAACCTCTTCTGAAGGTGTAGGTGTGTGTTGTTCTTGTCAGGCTGTAGCTTGGCCTCCAATACTGCGCCGAGATTTTTGCTGGATGCTTGCTGCTTTTCCCTCTCCTCTGTTTCACTCTGCCTCTTCTCTTCCTGCTTCCCAGCTGAAAAAACGAAAGACATTCTGAGTCTGGACGCGAGCCCTCCTCTCCTGACTGTGCCTGATCCTTTCATTCCTCTCCCGTTATCCGACACGCCAGGTAACTGGAGCTGAGTTTGTGGAGGGGGCAGATTGTATCATTTATTTTGTACTCTTAATCTCCCAGTTTTATTTCTAAGCACATTGAAATTCTGAGCCTCTGGTGCTGGGCACCGATGAGCTCTGCTGAATTTGGTCCTTTCTGCCATGAATATCAGTGTGGTGGGAGCGGTGCTGAGCTCGAGAGCCCTTTATCATAGCAGACCCTAGGGTTATTGTGTGGTTTCTAGTGCCAGTAATGTTGGTGTCTTTAAAGATTCAATGTTTAAAGCCAAAAATAATCACTGGGTAATTACCTGTTCTGACCTAAGCCCTTTTGAAATTGCTCTCCAGCTTTGAAATTGTAGACTTTTATTCTTGTTAATCTCTCTTTTTCCTAAAAGCCAGTGTTTCTTTGGCTTCCAAGACCTATTGCAAGCACTGCTTCATGTGAAGCACAAGTTAACGTGTAACCTTTCCTGTTCTGGCAAGATTTGCTGGTGCAGTTGGTAGCTATTTCCATTTACCTCGCCATACTTAAAGGTCTTTCCTGCGTGCGTGTTTCTGACTGCAGCAGCCAACACTTTTTAGCACAAGATTATGTAAGTGCTTAGGAGCTTATTTGCAAATCAGTGGGATTTGGGAGATGGGAATGTTTTTATCTTGGAGTTTCTCTAAGCCCCTTGGTGAATCCCACCCTTGTCCTCAGCGCAAGCTGTGGACTCAGCAGTAGAGGACCGAGCCTTCAAAACAGGTGGCATCTCTCCATGGAAAGTTAAGCAATTCGGGGAAAAAACCCTCTATTATTTTCCATAACTTGCTTCCTTCTGGTTGGTGCTCAAAGAGCACAAGAAATGGGTTTTGATTCAAAAGGGAGGGTTGAAATGAAAGGGATTCATTTATTTGACTCAGAAATGCTGCAGTTCAAGACACGAAGCAGAACTTAGAGGCTTTCTCCCCAGTATGAGGCCTTGCCAGGAGCTGCCCTGCCCAGCTCTAATTGGAGAAGAATTACAGAAGACAGACGACTGCAGCTTTTTCTTCCTCACCCCCCACAAACGCTATGGAAATGTTGATTTTCCTGACTTGAAGTCCATCAGCCTGGACAGTTATTCAATTCTCTGCCAGCGGTGCTCAATGCATACAGCTGCACACCAAGACAGTTGTTTTCCTTGTTGCGTTTTGGTATAGCACATCCACATGAAGCAGCAGTCGCAGCCTTAGCTGCAGGAGCTCTGAAATTCTGTATAATACAGAATCCACTGCAGGGAAATTGCCCCTCAACCCTGCCCTTGGGTGCAAATATCTGAGCAGCAGATTTTGTGGTGCCAGATTAGAAAAGGACCTGAGGGTATTGGGTGGTAGTGGATGAACACGAGCCAGCAGTGGGCCCAGGCGGCCAAGGAGGCCAACGCCATCCTGGGCTGTCCCAGCACTGGTGTGGGCAGCAGGAGCAGGGCAGGGATCATCCCCTGTGCTGGGCACTGCTGAGGCCGCCCCTGGCATCCTGGGGTCAGTTTTGGGCCCCTGACTCCCAGAAGGACATTTTGGGGCTGCAGCGTGGGCAGAGAAGGGCAAGGGAGCTGGGGAGGGGTGTGGACCAGCCGAATGCTGGGGAGCGGCTGAGGGAGCTGGGGGGTTCAAGTGGAGAAGAGGAGGTGAGGGGAGACCTGATCCCCTCTGCAGCTCCTGCCAGGAGGGGGTAGCGAGGGGGGGCGGTCTCTGCTCCCCAGGGATGAGGGGAAACGGCCTCAAGTTGTGCCAGGGGAGGGTGAGGTTGGATTTTAGGAGGAATTTCTTTACTGAAAGGGTTCTCAGGGCCTGGCAGGGGTTGCCCAGGGCAGTGGTGGAGTCCCCATCCCCTGGAGGGGTTCGAGAAGCGCCTGGATGTGGCACTTGGGGCCATGGTTTAGAGGCCATGGTGGGGATGGGTTGATGGTTGGACTGGATGATCTTGGAGGTTTCTTCCAACCTCAGTGATTCTGTAAATACAAAAGATAAAAATCCTGGATTTGGGCTCAGGTTTTCAATGTGTGTGTCTGTCATGCAGAACAGAGTCGTATTTGCTTTGTGTCTGCATTACCTGGGCAGGATCATTCCCAAGAGAGGGCTTGGATGTGAGGGATGTGCCGCCTTGTGTGTAAAAGGCATTTTTAGGTGTGCCCCGTGGGTCAGTAGAGCTGGGATTGCCTTCAGCCTCTTAATAAATCAGCATCTCTGGCCACGCATCTCCAAGCTGCCTCAGTTTTGTGCAGAAGCAGCTGAATTTCTCTGAATGCTTGCTAAATATTTGCTTTCTGCCTGGAATATTTTTATTTCTGAGAAAACCTTGCTGGCGAATCCCATCGCTTTGAAAACACTTCACGTCTGTCTTTTTATAGACTGGGAGCGTGCACAGCCCTTTCAGAAGCGAAAGCATCACTCTTTACTCCTTGGTTACAAGAGCGGCGTTGTTCAGGGAGCCTTTCAGCGCCCGCATAAGCGAGGCTTTGATTTGGTATTTTCCCAATTTGTCTCAACAGAGGCGGTTTTGTCACCTCCCTGTGCTCTGAACCTGAGGGTCTGGCTCAAAGCTCAGCTTCTTTTTTTTTCTTTTGCTTAAGCCCCAAATTTGCTCCCTTTGGCACCTGAGGGTGCAGGTGGCATCACTTGAGACCTCCTTGGGCTTTCCTACCTTTCCTGTGCGTGCTCAGAGGGATGGATGAGCCGTTCTACCACAAGTTCGTAAGAAACAAGTAAATGATGCTTAACATGTGAGAACACCCAGACAGCTTAAATATGTTCAAACGGAGCAGCACACTGCTGTAGAGTTACACCCAACAGATAACTGAATATTAGGGGTTGTCAGGGCCCTCTGGAGCTCCCCC